TATCATCATTTTCATGTTAATGATCTCCCCTCCCGAGTGAGTGAGTTATGTTATGTTATGTGCAATAATGTGGGCGCAACATAGCTTCCTGGGTGTGCTCTTGCACATCTACACTTATTTAATTCTATGTAAACATTTTTGAATTTTTTTCGTGTTCGCATTTGTTTAAAATTTTATTGTTTATTTTATTTTATAATAAATAATTTATTTATTTGCTTTCAATGTTATTAGTTACATATAGTATATTTAAATAAATTAACATTAATTTATTATTTATTAGGCATCTAATCATGTTAACTATATTATATCAAAAGTTATACAAAAGTAATTTGTAACAATTTTAATAACGCGAACCGATTTACAGTCGGTAATGAAAATCGAGTGAAAATCGAGTGAAAATGGAGTGGAAATGATCGAAGTTTGAATAGATTTTGTATGAAAGAATGTTTCTGCTAAGAACTAAAAGTTTTTACGTTTGTTATGTATGCAAAATAAGTTAAAATTCAGTTCTTCTAATATTTTTTTATTGATACTTTTTATAAACTAATATGAAAATTATTTTATTTAATATCGGAAGAAAAATAATATTAGAAATAATGAGTAATCAGTAAACTATTCAATTAAATGAAAAATGCATATAGTAATTTCGAGTTCGGTTTCTAAGAACTTAGTAAATTAATAAGTAAAACAATTTGTTTTTATATAAATTATTACTATTTCAAAAAAAAATTGAATTTTGAAAAGAATTTTAAAATAAAAAAAATCATTAAATATCATCTTGGAAAAATATTCATAAAGTAAGGCGAGTTGAATTTTTGTCTCGGATATTTTCAAAAACCTTTTTCTAAATGGTTTGCTTTGAAACCATTTGAAAAAAGTTGATAAAGTAATAATAAATACAATAAAATAATATATAATTAATATGTCAGAATAATGTTTGTAAAAATATAAAAATATGGGAAAATTTTAACATGTATGCAAATGAAACTTTCAGAATATTTGTAAAAATAAACTTAATAATATGCAAAATCGGGGTTTGAAAATAATTAAATTAGTAAATTTTATCATATTAAAAAATAACATTATTAATATTAATAGAATGTATACATTTTTTATATACTTATTAAAAATAATAATCATTACCGTAGTTTACATTTTATTGAGAGAAAATATACAAATCATTTTAAATTATATATATAATCTTTGTGCGATTTGTCAATTTTATTTTTTAAAAAAGATTTAAATAATATATAAAATTTAATTTGTTTTATTGTTTCAATTTAAAAAAAAAATTTTTTTAAATATAAATACAAAGTGTTCCATGTACATAGAAAAATTAATTTTTTATAAAACTGTTTGATTTAAAAGTTGGAAGAACTTAATGACTTATTATATCAGATTAAAATAAAGTATAATACATAAATAAAGTGAATTTTATGTTAAGAGATATAACGAATTTTCTCTACTGATATTTTATATACTTTTTCATTTTTTTCCATTTATTTTTATTTAATAATTACTTTATGCGTTTCTTTTTTTTTTTAAATATTGATTTATCTACATTATACATATATTTTTTTTTTTTTTTGGTTTTTATATATTTATAAAAGTAAATATTTTTTAATAATTATAAAAGTTTAGATAGTAATTTTAGAGTTTGTTGAAATTTTTTTTTTCATTTATTGTTTACAAATGTTTTTAACCATTTAACGTTGGTGTTTATATCTATACATTTGATCTAATTTATAATTAATTCTTTTTAATTTCATTACATTATCCAAGATATAACAATTTATATTTTGTAAATATATTTTCTTTAGCTATTATTTAACTATTTCTCTGTATTTTTGTTTTTTAAAGTAATTCGTCAGTACAAAAAGGGAAAAATTAAAAATATTTGTGTCAAATATGTAAACTATTGAAAAACCTCAATTAAATTAAAATGTTTTAAACTAATTTAAAAAATATTTAATTTTGTATATAAAGAAATGCAAAAAAGGAAATTAATTTTTTTATTAAAAAAAATTTGTGTACAATAATTTTTCATTCTAAATTAAACTTCAATTTTTTAATGAAATCGTATAGAAGAATTTATTTGAAGTTTTTAAATTTTTCAAACTATGGTCACCTTAGCTTTATAGAGTGAGTTTTTTTTGCGATTGTTAATTATTGGTTAAAATTAAATTATAAAGACTATGTGTATTTAAGTTTTAAAAATAAAAATTTTTATTTTTAAAAATATGTGATGTTAAAATTTAACCAAATAATTTCAATTTATGTTATGTTTTTTGAATTGAATTTGACATTAAATTTTTTTTTGATCAAGAAACAAACACAATTTTAAATAATTCGTATATATATATATATTTATGAAAAAACATATTATATTATATGTTCAAAAATATATATGCGGTCGAAGAATTTTTCCTTGAATTAAAGCAGTTGATATTAAAAATAAAAATATTAAATAAACTTAAAAATTTCAATAAAGATAAAATAAATCTTATTTAAAAATAAAAATTTTAATATTTTTATATATGTTATTTATAAAGTATATTAAGTCATTATATTCAAAATATAATAAATATTTTTGTATTTACTTAAACTTAACAAATGTAAATTTGTAAAAAGATAATTGAATTCTTAAAATATAAAATTTTTCCCGAATATATGAAGCAATTGATTTATCAAAACCAAAATTAAAATAATTTTGTCAAAAATTTGGTTAAAATTTATGATATAAATAAGATAATAAATGTGCCCAGGAAATATCTTTATGTTTTATGGCTTGTTTAGCACTATGTCCTTTTAAATGACAATTATAATTGACTGGTGTGTCAAATGCGTTTTCATCACATGACAAGAATACGAATATGACCATCATATGACTACCTGTAGTCATTACACTGCCAATATTTGACATTGAAAATGACATAGGCATTAGTTTAAAGCTTTTTTGCTTGAAAAGAAAGATTTATTGGCTGACCATATGCCAAAGAATTGAAAGTGATGTGTTTTTATTTTTATAATAAAACGAAGCAATTTTAAATTATTGCCTGAATATGTATAAATAAAAATAATTTTTTTTATATAGAAAAGTGTGTAAAAATATGTAAAACTTATGTAAGTGAATATAAAAATTATAAAAACATGTGATTTGTGTATATCATTTAATTAATAAGTAGTAAATATTCGAAGTTTGCTCACTATTATTTTTTACTCCTGATCTCCTCATTTGAAATTCTAAAGGGTTTTCATCACCTTCTCACCCGTTTGCTTTTCAAAAACCGACTTTTATTGGAAAATTAAAATAAAATAATTAAATAATTAAATCAAAATAAGAACAAAATTTAGTTTCATTTTGGGTTTCAGTATAAAAATAAACAAATTTTGTGTTTATTTCCTAAAATGTTGTTGTTCACTTAAATTTCTTGTGATTTTATTTTCGTTTATAAAACAAAATTGTTTTTATTTATTTTTTCACAAGTAAAATAAATTATAAATTTTAATTAAATTTATTTTTATTAATTATAAATTATTCATTTACAAACTTTTTCTCAATTCTATGCACCTAAATATTTTTGTTATTTAACATTAAATTTTTTTTTATAGTTATACTTTATTAATTATATTTATTAATTATTTTTTATTATTAATTTTAAATATTTTTTTCGATAGTTTATTATAAAATGTTAATTTCTTAATTTGTTTTTGTTGTTTGTTTGTTTTATTTTTTGTTTTGTTTTGTTTTTGTTAAGTATTTAGTGTTTTTTCGTTACAAATTTAAATATCTTAAATTACATTTACTGTGCGCTTTTTATATATTTATTTTCAATGAATAAAACAAAACCGAAAACTTAATATTAATTTCATTTAATTGTTAATATGTTGTTTGGCGTTAATTTTTTTAATTTTAATTTTTTTCTTGTTCTAATTTTAGTTGAAAGGTGGCTGATACGCGAATTAAATACGTCAATTCGTTTGTTGGTTTTTAATTTTATTACCATATACAATCATATATACTTATATATATATGTATATTCTTTTATACTCATACATATTAATATATATATATCTATAATTATTTATAACAATTTTAAATTGAATTTCTTGTTTTAAATGAAAATTTGCTAAATTTAATTTCAGTAATTATCTAAGACTACTTTAATATTTATTTATTTATTTATTTATAACATTTTTATTTTAAGGATATTCTTGAATATTCTTTCCTGTTTTAAATTTGCTTTCCCTTCCCTTATAAGTGTAAGTTTTTGTTAATTTTTTATTTAGCTAACCTATTATAGACTTTTTTATTTTCCATTTTAATAAGTATGCCTGTTGTGTTTTTTTTTGTTTTAATAGAATTGTAATTTAATAATAATTTATTGTTATTATTTAAAAAATTTTTTTTTGTTCCTACAAAACTAATTTTGTGGCAGTTTTTTGTTTATATATATTTTTTATTATATTTATTAAAGTTATTGTATGTTTTTTCTTTAAATAATTTTTTTCTAGATGTAATAAAATATTCTAATTTTGTTAGTATTTTTATGTTTAAATATTTTTAATAGTGAGGGCAAGTACTTTACTTTCTGAAATTTAGATTTTTTTTATCCTTTGTTATCTGGTAAATATAGTACAAATTCATCTTTTTCTAAATACGCTAATCTTTTATATATGTATTAGTGTAATATTTTCTTTTTTATTTTGCTTTCCCATATATAAATTAATTTATTAATTTTCTATTAGTGGATTTTAATATTTTCATTCCTTCATCATATCAGTTTCCCAACTTTTCCAACTTTCCCAACTCTTCATTTCTTTTTGTATAATAAAAAGAAATTTTTCTATGCTAAACAAAAACAATTCTCAACATTTATTTTATATAATATATTTTAAATAATTATTACAAACATTATTTTTATTAATTTTTATTAAAATTTTATTTTAATTATTTGTTATTTGTTTTTAATTGTAATTAATTTTTTGGTTTTTGTGTTTTTGTGTTTTTGTGTTTTGGTTTTTTATGTTTTGTTTTAATTAGTTACTAATTTTAACCTATAAGCACTATGACGTACTAGTCCGTAGTCGTGACTTCTTATGTAGTGTTGGCGCCCGTATCCACCATCGGCGCCACCAATCGTTTATGTTGAAGTTGTAATAGTAAAAGGATCGATAATTTTTATTAATCGTACAATTATTTATTTTCTCTTTATGCCCCTCAATAATTAGAATTTTAATATTTTTGTATTTATATTTATATTTAGAGTAAGTATTAATGGTAATGTTACATGTACTAAGTTTTCTACTACTATTTTCACTACGATAGAATTTCATGGTACTACTAAAATTTACGTTACTAAATTTAAAAATAAATTTCTTAATATTTTGAACGGGTTTCCTTAAACGCTTTAAAACATGCATACTCGGTCTGTTGCATTTCGCATGGTTGTGGTTTTTGCTACTAATGCCGCTACTGAGTCTCTGATGCAGCGGGTGTGTGGGTCTGAATGTGGCAAGTGCTGAAATGTATGTTGCACAGCTGTTAAGCTCCCTGTTGAAAAGTTCGCCCGTGGCAAATGTACTGTCAGCCTTCATGCAACATTTGCACGCCACGGTCGGCATTTCTTTAGTTATTTTCGGCTGTGCTCTGGTTCTACACACTTGCTTAATTTGCTGTGCCGCATTGCAGCTGCTGAGCAGGCACAGCAGAGCACTGAACCAGAGCAACAGTTGCTGTGCGAAGAGTGCTCGTTGGCTTTTGGGTCGGTGTGTTGCTGCGGCCGATGCAAAATATGGTATGGTGCAGCGACTACTGACTGATGGCACTGTTGGGCAGTTACCTGAAATTGCCTCATTTGGCATGTCATTGGGGTCGTCATCGTAGTAATAGGTGCCCTCATAGTGGGCGTAGTAAGGCAAATGCTCCAAAGTCATGCTACTCATGGCGGTTGTGACGTTTTTGAGTGCAATTGCCACACTGGCTGTGCGTGCTTTTGTCTCGTTTACCAATGCCAGTGCTGCTCCCAGACGTGTGTCAATTCGATGTTGAGTTCTGGCTGTCAGTGTGATGTTGTGCACTTGCCTTGTTGCGTTTGCTGATGTTTCATGTTCGCTCTCGGCGAAAGCAGCGAACTCATCACAGTATGTGCAAATGCCGTCCATTGCAGAGTCGCAATAAGTGTAGCAACAATCTGGTGGACCATAACTTGATTTGTGTAGTTGCTCGCCTGTTTCAGGTATATTTTGATCTGAAATAATCAAGATTGTTTAATTAAAATTAATAAACAATAATTTTGTTAGCAAAAAGAAATGGATTGCACTCGATGTGCGCTTACCTAAGCATAAGAAGGTTGGTTCTCCTGCATATTGTGTTGGCAGCGCTGGTGCTCGATCTGCTGGCAGCAAATATGGACATTTTTGTTCCACTGTTTGGCAGATACTTAGGCAAGGTCGTATTCTTCGTCGTTTTCGAAATTCCACTTTTCGTTTTGATCTAAAATTTACAATTTTATAAAGAATTATTATATATTTATTATGCGAGATGAATACATTAACGTTTTTATTAAATCTTAAGACTGTAGGCATTGGAATGTGTTATATATATGAGATTATAGACGGTAAAATTGCCCTCTATAGGGCTGTAAGCGTCTGTCCTCTGTATATAATTATTGCAATTTGTAAGTTGCTTTGTAAATCAAAAAAGAAAATAAAAATGAAATAATAAAGCTGGTAGTACTACTACCAGATTGTTGAATAACATCGGAGTAATGAACTTAAAGATAGATTTCAAACTGTAATTCCGAACTTGTATTTTACTATTCCAGTGATCTTCAAATTTAAGAATCTAAGCACTGTAGTGGCTTTCAGAAAATACCTCCTCACATAAGCTATATATATTCGTTAAATGAAAACCCTATTTTACAAATGAATTTTTTGAGGTGTGAATCCAACTACAGAAGTCTACCAGCTCTTATTTATTCTGTATATTCTGGCAGAATATGTTATAGTTAAAAAAGTAATGCAGTGATGCACATTGAGCAGGATAAATAGAGGAAACATTATTCGTTGCCTCTGACAATTCCATTGTAAGAAATGTAAAGGCAATATATAAAATAGTTGACTTTATCATTCAGACCTAATAAAGATGCTTAGATCTTTAAATGTCATTATTTCTTCAAAGAGAGAATTATGTATATTATATAATATATAAAATATCTATGGATTTATTTATCAAAGATTTATGCACGCATTGAGTCAAATAAATTGAAATAATCAGTGTTAATAGAATGAAGCCAACTGGATGTTAATTCCAGGAATGATGTCAATGTGGTTATAAAGCTTGTATAGTTTGTGGATCATACGTTTAAGATAATTGTTGACAACTCGTGAAGGACTAAAGATCTTATAATCAAGTTTTTTCTCGAACACTCCCAGTGCTGCTTTATCACTTTGTTATAGCGTCCATGGTTTTATGCTACACAAAACTACAGAGAGCGTTTTACATATCAAATGATTACAGAGCCCATAATAACACCACAGTAACACTAATAAGACAGAATCAGTATTTTAGCATGTATTATGCTGATCCTATGATAGTTGGAAGATGTCAACCGATATGTTAAAGTTTTTCTGTACTGTCTGCCTTTGACAATTGTTCGCCTGGGGATTGCACTCAATTGTTCGGGTATCCCGCAGTTTCGTAATGTATATATGATTTTTTAATTAAAAAATTCGATGGGACTCTCGTCACCTTCAAAAGAAAGTGATTGATGCCAGTGGATTAATTTTCACAAAACTTGCAATTGAGTTTTTACAATTAGTATAATCAGTATGTTCTTTTCTGACTTTAGCGGGTCGAGTAATACGCAAAGAGAAAGGTTGAAATTAAAATTTTCTGAAGTCAAAGACGAATGATTTATGTTATCGTAATGCCTCAGTAATAGAATGGAATATATACATTATAGTTAACTAAAATAACATAAGTAATTGTAATTTTTTCTTTACTTGGTTACAGATATTTATAAATATTCAAACTCATATTCATATATATTGAAAAAGTAATTAATTGATTTGGTTTGGAATTTTAAACATAATAATATCTGAAGTTACTTTTGAATCGTTACTAAAAAGAGTTTTTAATATTCCCTCTTCTGTTTCAAAATAATAAAAATAGTATGCATGAAATAAATTTAAGTAGTAAATCTCAACTATTAAAGAAAGTATGAATAAGGCTGAAATACTAACAACTAATATTATTCTAATACTAATAAAATGATAATCAGCAGATTTAGAGCTTGATTGTGTTCGAATTCGAACACTTGGATTAAATATTTCAAATGTTTGCAAATGTTCGAGCTATTCGAATGCTCACGGACCTTATTTGAACATATTCGAGTGGCTCCCTGTACCAAAGTAAGATGCTCAGGAAGAAACATATTCGAATACTAAAAGGTTTGAAGCTTAGAATAGTTTAACTAATAGTTAATGTTCGAAAATTAAGTTAATAAATAATTCACAAAAACTAAACTTACCTTTTTAATAATTTTGATATCACTGGATCCTCGGCACATGGATCCTCACTATTGGCAGTCGATATGAAATCATTGGAATCATTGTTATAATCTTGTTTTTGTGATAGCTGGTGCAGTAGTATTTTCTGTTGCAGTTCCCGATTGCATCTGGTATCACTATTGCGTTTTCTTCTATGTGATGCTGTCATGGAATTATCTTTGTTTTTGTAATTGTTGTTGTTATTATCGCTATTATCATAACTATCAATGTCAATAACATCCAATAAGGTTATCTTTGCTGTTGTTTCATTGTTTCCCGTCTGACTTCGTTTACTTCTCTTCACTGTTGGCTCGTTGATTACAAAATGGTTTGCTTCATTTAAACTTTCTGATGTCCGTTTCAGTTGCTGATCTTTTCCAGTTCCACCGTTGGTTGAATTCGATGTTTTGGTGGAGTTTGTTGATGGAACGCTGTTTTTATTTTGTTTGGCGGAACTATGTGTGGTTTTATCTGTTGTCGGTGATACTAGAATATCGCTTTGTTCAGCAAAGTACGGTATGAGAGCACTGCAAACCCAACGTCGGTAAGATTCCTGAAATGAAATGAAAAGGAAAATATATAATATAAATTTGAAGTTTGTGAAGTGTGTGTATCTTATAAATATGAGTATTATTTATCCAAATGAGATGTATTTATTATAAATAAAAATTTTATATTTTACAGGTTTTCAGCATTATTACTATAGATCAACATTTATCGACCGAATAATATAAGAAGTATATAACTCAATAACACATTTGATATCAAAATAGAAAATTGGTGTTAGATACAGAAGAAAAAAACTTATAAATTAAATTTATGGGAGGCCATATGGAAGGACAAGGACTGAATTACCGAAATTCTGAGCTATAGAATAAACTTATTCGTATTTAACGTTCAAACAAAGCTAACCAATAAAAAGAATTTGAATTAAATAATAATTTAGATACCCCTAAACACTAAATACTGTACCTCTCAAAAAAAAATATACACTGACACCAACGAAATATCCAACCACCAATACATTAAACACTGCCCGTAAATTCTCCTTTATGACATCTATCGACTTGAAAACCGTTGTTTCGAAGTAGTAATTTGAGTTTTGGAAAAGAAGTCATCTGGAGCTTTATCAGAAAAGTACGGTGACGTTTCAGAAGGATTTGTTGAGCGTTTGATCTCGTGTTACCATGTTGTAAACTCCATAAGGTTTCTTTCCAAAACCTTAGGGATAAATACTATAGGGTACCAATGAATTAAAGTTAAAGGTTGGAATTTCACAAACACTGAGAAGAAAGAAAAAAGCGATTCTCGTAGCAGAATAGCACAGTACCATCAAGTATGGAAGAGATTTTGTGAAACTTATTCCACGCTGCAACGGAAGTAAAGCAGTTTGAAATATATGAAGATGACAAAGAAGTTTTAATTTAATCAAAGGGATGAAAGGGAACTTCTATATAAAAAACAGTTGTATGTTCATATACATCTAAATAATTTCATATTTATTTAAACTAGGTATAAATATATATATAGAATCAACAAATAATGTTATAAGTTATATGAGCTATGTTTTTTTAGCGACGCTAATGCTTGGACAAAATTAAAATTGTTCTTTTAGATATTTTGATTATATATAAAGAAACATATAAAAATATAGATAAAAAACTATTCTTCTAGGTATTTGTTATCATAAATTTTTAAAAATTATTTTCTTATTTTATAATGAAATTGATGTTTCCATAAAAAAAATTGCGGGCTTGAGAAAATTTCATAAAGTGCCTTCATTTTTATTTATCCTTAAATTCCAGTTTAATTACTTGTTGCAACTTTTTTAAGCACTTCACACTATTTCCCTTGTTTCAAAATGGAGTTTTGTATTTCTTCTTCATATTTATTTATTTTCTCGTAATTGTATGTAGTTCATCACAATGAACAGGGCCTGCACCCAAAAGCCCTTTACGAAATTGCAAGTTAAACATGCTTTAAGTTCTCAAGTGTATTTTAAATTAATAACTTCCCTCCGGCGCTTGACTCAACTTCATTTGCCCGCACATTCCCAAAGCGCTCGGTGAAGTGGATTCTTTTCCACTGTCGGGTATATTGTTATGTACCAGAAGGAGGAAGTGAGTCAAGATGTGCGAGTGCGAGTATTTCGGTTTATGTTCACATTTGGTTCTTGCTTCGTTATCTTGGCGCCCTTAGACAGTAAAGAAAATTATTATTTAATTACTCGATGTATTTTTCATTAATAGGACACCTCACAGTGCCTCCTAAGGATATTATGACTCAGAGTGTGAATAGATATTTTTTTCTTGTCCTATAAGAATGTTTGCTCATATATTTGTATGCGCTGCCGATACTTGTACCATCGCAGCTGAATGGAAATTGTTTTTCTTTGGATTTTGTCATAAAAACGAAGTGATATGTAAACTTCCAAGTACGGTCATAAACTGACACAAACTATTTCCACATACTCATTATAGCACAATACACAGTTCATCTGTTGGGAATTATTAAATTAATTGTATTTATTGCATTAAATACATATGAACATCGGTAAGTTCGTATCAGTGCTTAAGTAGTTTATTGTAGATATATCCTTAGGAATGTCCTTATGCAGTGTTAGCATAATTGCATTACTTTTTCCGAGTGACTTTAGTTTTTCTTTTTAATTACCATCACGTAATTATATTTAAGAGTGCATTTATTAGTATGATATGAAGTAGAAAGCAGGGGCGCATTATATTCCATCTTTTCAGCAGCAGGAAAAAATTTAATTTTAAGATGGTGAAGGATGATAATCTAAAATTTTGAATTGCTCCCAACATTTCATACGTATCAACTTTAAGGCTCCTTTAAAATTTTTTTACATATATTTTTTATTATATAAGAAAATTTTTTAATTATAGTACTGGTGGATAATATTTCATAAAAACTATGAGTGAATATTTTGAAGGCTATCTAAAAACTCCATCAATGTCTTTCGACTACTCTGCATAGTATGGATAGACTATCCATGTATGGTATTTTCATACCATACATAGTAATGGAAGTCTAAAGTAATGTAATTGATCTTTTCATGCCCTACATAGTATGGGTAGTCTAGAGTAATGTAATTGACATTTTCATAGGCTACATAGTATGGGTAGTTTAAAGTAATGTGACCACATGCCCAAATAGAATATATAAAAGGAACTGTGTATTCAGAGCTCTATTGAAACCCAATTATAGTTATATTCTCCTAATTGTATTTACTGCCTACTTAAGATTTGGAGTACTACCTATATCTTATTCTTAGATTAAAGAGATTTAGAACTTAAAGAGAAAACTCGAAACTAAAAAACAAATAGGAAAAATGTTGAAGATACAGGTCTATGTCTGATATGTATTTTTCAAAGTTTTAAGATCTTTCACGAAAGACATATTTATAAAATATAGATATATAGATTAATAAGTAAACCAGTTATTGTGACATTACTCTTACATATATATTTAACGATATACACTAGCTAATATAGAACCGATACCTGTGCGCATAGAAAGGTTTACAGACAACTTAAACTTAAAATGTCAAATTTTGGGATTTAGGCACATTAATATATTAATTTAGATAAATTTAATGTGACAATATTATTTTGTTTTATTAATTTATTTTATTTTATTTGATTTTATATGTCTGATATTTGCTAAACTAATTAAGTTATAACATTGAATTTTCGAAAATTTCGTTTAAATAATTCATTTATTTCTAGACTTAAGGTGATATTAATTAATAACCGCACATTTTTTAATTGAAAATTACTTTGTGTAATTAACGTTTAAGAAATGTGTGATAATAATCTCATATTCACTTTTTGAAATAGTGGATGAGATATCACAGATTATTATCAGACTACTTATCAGGGTTTCTAAATATGTATAAGTCGTGGGAAATAGTAGCGTCAAAGAACTCACCAAAACAAAAAGTCTCTACTTTTTAAGGTTAACTTTTTCTTGCCGATAATGGCGTGTCTTTTTATGGCGAAAGAAACTGTTTAAAAGTTAGACGGATTCGAATAGCAAAGAAAGGACAAAGACAAAAATTTTTTGTTTTTAATTTATTGAGTTTATTAAGTTTCTACGTTAGTGTTAAAAATTTAACCTTATTACGATATAAGTAGAGGAGTATCGAAAGAAGAACCTAAGGATCAACAAGTACAAAAAAGATAAAAACTCCAAGCGATCCTTATAGGTCACTCTTACAAATGACAATCCAAAATGGCAAATGGAGGCATAAATATTAGCAAAAACTTTAAATTATATATTATTTTTTCCAAGATCGGAAAGTAACCGAGGTATTGACGGAAGACATCTAGGTGGCACAGGTATTACAACAAACCCTATATGCTATTTTGCAATAAAAAATCTCAGCCAAAAAAACACATATTAGAGAGAAATGCAATTCAACAATACAATAAAAAGCATTCTTGAGAACACGTTCAATACCATTCAAGACCATTTGCCTAACTTCTTGACGACAACGTGGCCGGATAAGAGTTTATATGACAACTATATACTTGCAGATGGTAGTACAATAGATTGCTTAGTCTCAGTACTTTATATTCATAAAAGCCAAATGTTAATTCAAAATAAGGATCTGTCGATGTTTAATAAGTTAAAAGGTGATTCTCCATCAACAAGTGGTTAAAAACCAGAATAATTTTAGAAGATACCATTTCTAAAAAAAAGGATCAAATATTTTCCTATTGTCTTTTAATAAGAAAAAAGATTATATATATAAAATGTACAGAACAGTAGAACACTTCATGTCTTTTTATTTAAAAAAATTTTATTATTTTAAGAATCGGTTTGTTTATCAAACAGTTCTTTGCATAACATTATATTATTTAAGGTCTTAAACTCCATTCCCCTCGAAATTTCTCATCCACTTGTATTTATTTTATTTGTAGACAAAAAGACTATAAAAGTTTTAGTTGAAAACTCAGCATTTATATATGTTAATCAGACACCTCAGATATCGAAATACCCTTTTTGTCCTTATAAGATTATATTAAATAGGGTTAAGTTAAAGAAACCGATAAGAATAAGAAACCAATGAAAATATACAGAACGTTAAATTAAAAATGGGATCATAAATAAAACTTTAAAGTGAGACTGATATCGTAGTCGAAATACAATCTTCTTTGAATATATAGTTTAATTTAAAACATAATTCTCTGTAAAACAATAGAAAATATAGTGTGTGATTTCTTTATTGATAGTAGTTGAAATAAGTGCATGTACTCTTTGGTAGTAACCATATATGTTAAACGAAAATTCTAAGATCAATATCATATATAATCTATTAAAGTGATACCCATATTTGATATTGCCAGCTACTTATTTAGTTTCAAAATCAGGATAACCGGAGCATGGTATTGTGGTATACATTTTAACGCCTCTTTAATGTTGCACAGTCTCTTTAGATTATCATAATTTCAATTAAGTTTTTAAACGTATAATTTTTTGATAAAATTATGATATACTATATGTTTTACTCAGCTTCTATGATACGCTGCAGTAGCTGGCTAGTAAAAATAAATTAATGCTTTGTTGGGTGCCTGGTCAATGGTAATGAGTCTGCGGACAGTCATGCGAGGTCAGGATCTGCCATTCGACTCTGTGGAACTGGAACCATATTAAGAATTAAGTTAGTCTACTACTAGGTCTCTGATGGATAAATGGTTTTCAGCCGAGAGAAGTTCCAGGCTAAAGAGCTGGTTCATCCCTACAGTTATGGTAAAGTATCCTTCTTCAGCAAAACAGAGTTAGGGTTGCTGGTGGGATATTTAATGGGTCATCATGGACTGCATTATCATTTAAAGAAAATGGATCTCTCCGAAGAGTTAAATTGTCGACTCTGCTTAGAAGCAGACGAGACTTTCAGTCACATTCTTTGTGACTGCCCAGCCTTGATCTGGGCCAGGAGGAGGTCACTGGGTTGGGAACTGCTTTCTCCTTCTGACATTAGGAGGTTCACATCGGCTGACATTCCGGCTTTCATTTGAAAGAAATGTCTTCTGTTTACTAAGGGTCTGTTGCAGCACAATAGATCAACTATGGTGGCGATGCTCCGCTCCGTTCGAAGCTGGTACCTTGTTCATTTCTATTCTATATATACTATATTCTATGCTATGCGATCAATAAATTGGACTTGATGTTTGCAGTTGTTGTTTCCATAGTCAACTTTCAACTTGAAGGTTTAAGTTAATAGTAAAATTAATTTATTGTATATATGAGTGTATTATTATTAATTGTACTACATATATATACATCTATAAAAAATCTTTTCAATGAAACATTAATTAGAGATTCAAAAAGTTTTTTACGTTTTAGTACACAAATATGACTACATTAAAAATGTCCGTATGATTATTTTATAGTTTATTTATTATAAATCTGCAAAGATAATATGTAAACTATATAAGCGAAATTTTGAAACGTCACTAATTCAATTTGCTTCAGATTTCATCATTATATTTTATTACTAAATATAACTGAAAAATGATTTCTTGTATTAACAGATACAAGATAAATAATCTTAAGTATATTTATTTTTTGTATTAATTTTTCATCTCTATTAGTTTGAAAGGTCTTCAGATCAACTATACAAAAAATAGACATAATCAGTGCTGATGTCTATTAGATAAAAAGAACATTATTCAAAAAAACACTACGAGATAAAAAATTAGAATGGTCTACTTAATACCTTTATGCAAGTTAAGTACCTCGAATATACATTGATGTATCTGAAAATTCCGTTACAAATAGTACATAGCTGATACAGCACATTCTTTATTCTTTTATTTACACAGCTGCATCAAGAGTTTAAGGCTCAAGAGCAGTTCATATATACAAATTTCTTAGCTCCATAAATTATACTTTTATTATAAACAAAAACATGTAGTTTTGCTAAGCTACAAACTGTACTGTAGCTAAACACTTTAAAAATAATATATACAATTGGCTTAGGATAAGAAAACTTCAAAACTGTATTTTTAGTTTTTAAGAAACGATGAATAAATAAAGTCGCATTTTTTTAAAAAACTCTTTCGAGTAGAAATAAAATTAATTTGCATTCGTTTTTTGTTTTTAGTTTTTTGTTTTTCGTCGTTTTGGTGGTATTTATTTATATAATTTTATTCCAGAACAAATACGAAACCATTTATCACAGAACATTCGCAAAAACTACATTTGTCTCCAGAAATCGTACATTTGTTTTTCCTAAACTCTACTTAACTTATAATCTTGTGATTGTGTAAAATGTACTCGTACTTGCCAAATTGATAGATACCAAAACCGCTGTTCTTATTTTTTCGTATCTCATTCATTATAGAACGTACGAACTTGCGTGTACAAAGAAGATACAAGATACTATATGTTATGTATAGTATCCGAGTGTGTGATATATAATGAATTTGAAATTCAATAAAAATGATTGTGATTGTGCTAGTAACGGCATTCGAGACCGATAAGAAAAACCATGGAAAAATAAAAAGTATTTCTCGAATTTAAATAATTTAAATAATGTATATAACGCGCTTGTGGGAATTCTTGTGTATTTCATTTTACACAATAACATATATGCTGACACTTAAATAATACACAAAAATTACCCAGTAGTAAATTGCAGGCATATAGAAACTTATGTAGTAGATATATAGTATGAACTGATTGGTGTATATTTAACTGTGGTTAACCGAATTTTATTA